CGCAAATTCTTTGATGCCACCCCCCCCACCCCCCCAGAGCTGCTCAGAACTCCAGCTTCTGTTCCAGTGAGCAGCTGTCGCTCCGCCAAGCTGGAAGTCAACAGGCAGCAACGTTCAGCATCACAGTCACCAGAACAGGGGAACTGGTCCCACTGTGAGGGAAACGCCTCCTGCTTTAAAACCAGCTCCTTCTTGCCTCAGCATCGATTCCAGACAAAACTTGGGACGTTTATTCCAAAGAGTTTCATAACACTTCTTTTTGGGTGTGTCCTCAGGGTGACTCTGCTCTTGGAGGGGTGGGTGAGGTGGTCTGGAGACAGCAGGAAACCTCCTCCTGGGAAGCTGCAGCCCAGGGTTTCCTATTGATGCTTTATTTCCTCAGGCACAACCTGCTGTTGGCAGGACATGGGTTAACCGTGCGGTGCCCGGTGTCTCAGGACCTCACGTGGCTCAGGAGGGTCAAACCATTCTGCTGTTGTGTCCCTTGCTGCAGGAGGAGAAGGCCAAAGCCTACAAGAAGGAGAAGCAGAGAGAGAAGAAGAGGCGGGCGGAGGAAGAGTTGGCGTTCGAAGAGGACGATGAAATGGCGGCTGTGATGGGTTTCTCCGGTTTCGGCTCAACCAAGAAGAATCACTGAGCAGCTCTGGACTCTCCTCTTCCTTCAACCAGGTTGTTTTTACCCCGGGGACTCTGGATAACAGACTTGATTGAGGACTTGTGTGTAAATCTCCCCGTAAAAGTCGGCTGGAGGAGCCGAAAAGCGATTCCGTGCTCTACCTGTGCTGCAGAACGAGCTCCGCCTGTCCTTATCTTCCCACCTCCTTCTGTGTCCTGGATCCGGCTCGTCCCCGCCCCCCCGCCACTCCGTGGCCTGGCGCGCGCGGGGCAGCGTTCCGCTGGGTGCGTGTCGGTGTCAATAAAGCGCAGCACTTCTGTACGGGTGGCCTGGTGCAGAATTCATCTAATTGTCAACCAGGCGGCGGCGTTCCGGGCTCTACTGGTCAACCGGGCCGTGTGCGAGACCCAGGGAGCGATTCCGTTGCTTTACGGATCGCGGCACGGGGCGTAAACGTGCCGCAGCGGGCGGTGTTGGGCGCCACAACCTGCGTCTTTGTGGTTTGGGCTGGGCAGAGCTGGTGGCTGCACGGAGTCTGGGTCGCTGAAACTTCCCTGTGCGTTTTATCCGCAAGGGATATTTCCCCGCTTTTCTCCGTGCTTCATCCCGTAACTTTGGGATCTTTAAGGCAGGGGAGAAATTCCTCCCCGACGACTGATGTAGGATAGAGCGAATGAAAGGAAGGTGCACGCGATTCGCCAGAAATAAATGGATTGTTTTCATGGGTCCTGGGGTGGGAGCTGGATTCCTTCCTTGTTTTGAGAGCCCCTGCTTCCCACCGAGAAGAGCTGCTGGTACCTCCCGAGGTGGGCAGAGCCAGCAGTGGCCTGGGGACCTTGAGGGAGGTGAGGGCAAGTCCTGTGCCCCCCTCTTGGCTCAGCTGCCAGCTCCCCTCTGCAGGCAGTCGCTGTCATTCCGTGCTTTTTCACAGAATCCCAGAATGTCAGGGATTGGAAGGGACCTTAAAGGATCATCTAGTCCAATCGCCCTGCTGGAGCAGGACCACCTAGGTCGGATCACACAAGAACGCGTCCAGGTGGGTTTGGAACATCCCCAGAGAAGGAGACTCCACAACCTCTCTGGGCAGCCTGTTCCAGTGTTCTGTTCCCCTTACTGGGAAGAAGTTCTTCCTCATGTTTAAGCGGAACCTCCTATGTTCCAGCTTAGATCCATTTCCCCTTGTCCTATCGTTGGATGCCACTGAGAAGAGCCTGGCTCCATCCTCGTGGCAGTCACCCTTTTTAAGGTAATTCTGGAGATGGGCTTAAGAACCTGGGAGGAGGGAGGGGAAGAGGGAGAGAGAGGGAAAGGGAGGAGGAGACTGGCAATCCCAGAGCAGGCTGGGCTGCATTCCGGAATTTTGGTGTATTAAGGGCCATTTTTTTCCTGCCTGCTGGCCATCGGTGTCTTTTCACCTCTGCCCTCCCTGGAATCCGCTTCCTTTCTGCTTTCCTTTACCTCCCTCGAACCTGGTGTGACTCATTCCCACCTACGGGCAGGATTTCTGTTCCGCTGGCCGGGTTTGCACAGCTCCGTCTCGCTCTCCTCTCTCTCTTTTTCTGTGTGGGGATGAAAATCCTTGTTTTTGCCCTTCTCTCTGCTATTCGGACGAATTTTCCGACCCGAGGAAGGCTGCGGCGTGTTTAGCCTCCTCTTCCTAATACATCCTAGAACAAATCCTGTGACGCTTTGCTGCTGGTTTAATTCCTTAATCTTCGACTGCTGACAGCTTCATTGCCTCGGGTCTTTCCGCTTCAATTCAGATTATAATCCCCGTTGAAGATGGTATGGAAATGATATAGAGCCAGCCAGATCCAACTGTCCTTGGAGCTTTGACCCTTTTAACTTGGCAATCCTTCGACTTCGGCGAGCGCTCTCCGAGCGCGCCGGCTGGAAGGGCGACTTTCATTCCAGCCACGTACCTCGGCGCGGCTCAGGCTGCGGCACGTGGCTCCGGCTGAGTGGGAGAGAGGAGACGCTGGCGCCTCCGTGCCCTCCGGGGTGCGGAAGGGATGCTGCCGCCGTTCCGTACGCATTAAAAGTTAGGACGTTTCGGAAAAGATGTAGCAGCAGCCATTTTCTCCCAGCCGCCAGCTCCACAGACAACCAGACCCTCCCTGCAGCCTGAATTCCGTTTGGGCGTCCGGGCAAGGGCCAGAGGCTGCCCCGCACCCTCCTACTCCACCAGGTTGTGACCTTGGATCCGGCAGCTGCTGCCTCCGTTTCCCCCACG